AGACAGAAGTTTGCTGGGGCCTCTCTGAGCCAATCATCAGCTGGCAGCTGGAAGTTTGCTGGCAGCTGGAAGTTTGCTGGGGCCCCTTTCGGCTGTGGCTCTCAACAATAAGTAGAAAAATACTTTCTAACTCTAGAAGGTATTTTATAAACTAGATTATAATGTATATTAAAAGAGTGTTGTTCTGATTGGCTTGTATGAGTCAAATATTCTCAAAATCTAGGAAATAGAATGAACCTCCTGCACTTCAAGTATGCTATAATTTTAAGAAAAAAACAATTGTTTTTCTAGAACCACTATCTCAGAAACATTTTACAAATCCAAGTTTACATAAAGGTGAGTTTTTTAATAAATTAGCCTAATTTAATAATTCGTTTTTCTAGAATATTAGTTACATGTCATTACCCTAAGTTTATCAATATAGAGCATGATTCCAGCAAAAACTTTTTAAATGAAAACTTTAGTTTGTTATCACAGAAAAAGACTAATTTGAATTTCTTAAACTTTTTATACTGGTTTACTTATTTAAATAAGATAAAATACTGCTACTTAATGCTTAATATTATAAAGGTGTAAATTTGTATTCAACTAAATTGAATCATGATTTTGACAAACTTCTAATGCACCAGTAATTATGTTTTAGAGTTTATCAGCTTAAACATAATTTTTAAGATACTTGAGTAAAACTTGGATTAATAGCTGGTTGCAGTGGCACATGCCTGTAATCCCAGCGGCTTTGGAGGCTGAGACAGGAGGATCGAAAGTTCAAAGGCCAGCCTTAGCAACAGACCCTGTCTCAGCTGTAGAGTACCTCTGAGTTCAATTCCCATACCCCCCCAAAAAAACCCTTAGATTGATAATAAATTATAAGTGATTATTAGATAACTAATAATTTCCAAATAAGATAAAACATTGAAACATTGATTGTTTAGCATACTTTTGGGTTTATATGTTTTTGATTCTAATTTTTATATGCTATTGGCTCTATCTCTGGATTAGTGAATGAATGTTTGTTTTTACCAAAGTTCAAGAGATGTATGTGACCATAGAAAGTTGTATATTTATTTATAAATTTCTTTCACTACACTGATACAATTCTCTACCCTGACAGTTCTCAATTTACCTCCTAGTTTTCTCTATAAAGTAGAATTATTAGTTTAGTTAAAATAAGCACTAATATAGATGATTGAAACTATATGAGTTGATAGTAGCAGAGAAATACAACTGTGTATACAAGTACCATTTCTCAGCACTCAAGGGCTTATTTAAATAAAGACTGTAAATCCTCTAACTTAAAAAAAAATTGTCTCCCAGGGTCAGATTCTAAATTTTGAAAGAAAATATTTCCAGGACATCTTGTAGATCTATAGCTATCTTTGAGACTTCTTAGAGAGCCCTTGGAAGATTACAAAGATTTGTCATTTCACTTTATATGAAGAGGTAGGCTGGATCAATCATATTTGTTTGGTATTCTCCATATTTCTTAATTAGCTCAATATCATAAAAAGAAGAACATCATCGGAAGAAGTGTCCCGTGTTAGAAACGAATGCTCAAACTTCCTAAAGTTGATAGGTTCAGATGAGCAAAATATTACTAGTATAAATTTTTCAAATACTGTGGTATTATGGAAAGACCCTGGAGATTTTCTAATACCCTTATTGTCTGTAATATGTTTTTACCCTTTGGAGAGATAATCAATTGTGTACAAAATATTTATATAGAGTAACACAATAGAGAATTTTCTCCTTTCTGACACCAGTGAGTCATTCAATCTTTTAATCATTTTTTTATTTTATTGGATGCATATTTGAAGGTTCTGCTCTGGGCCCAGAGCCTTTAAGTGTCAGAGCCTTGTAGAAAGGTGTACCAGATACTGCTAACTACTGACCCTAACAAGAATAGACTCGTGGATACATGCTTCTTGGCTGCTATCACTTAAACATCCTTCAAAGACTAAAGTAGATTGAGTCAGAATTTCTGAATTCCAAGATTCCAAAGATTCTTTTCTGTTCAGCTGTATTTTATAATAACCCACCATTTGACTTAAGATCCCAGGAAATAAGAATTAATTACACAGAACCAAAATAACTGATGAGGACTTTTTTTTAATAGTTATTAGTATGGAATGTTATATTATTTTTGATGTTTTCTTCTTACAGAGACATGAAAAAATCCTTTATCATCTCAAGCTATCCATAACCTTCAGTTTTTAGATTATGCAGAGTAAACCAGAATGAAAGTTTAAAAACGGTATCTGATTTTCACTAATGTCTTAAGAGTGGGTCTCCTTACGTTTTATGACAAATTAGTTTTTTGTATAGGTTTAATAAGAATTTGTCATTATTTTCCCAAGATGTAAGTGTACAGATATGTTTTTCAGCCAAAATCATACCCAATTTGAGAATGATCCTATTAGCCAGGCATAAGAAGTTCATATTAAGGAATGGGTAGTTTTTATTATGTGGAGCCATTGTCTACAAAGCCATTTCCTACACTGCTCTTGGTGCCTGTATCTGTACACCAGGACTTACTGGTACTGAGGAGTCACTTCCTAAAAAGCCATGGACTTAGCAGATATTGCAGGCTTCAAGAAGGGAGAAATTTTACCTATTTATTGATTCTGTAGGTGAAATCTAGGGAAAAGAGTTTCCTGGGTGTAGGCCCCTAGCCTACAAAGGAGCAAATAATCCAGACTTTCAAAAGTCTGAGATTCATTATGAAAATTGCGGAAGAGAAGGTAAATGTTGGCATTTTAGTAGTTCCTCAATAATGTAAGACTCTAGGTTTGCAGAGAAAACTTGAGGCTTATATTGTTAAATTGCTGCATGGATATAAAATATCAGGGCAAACCTAAAATGAACATTTTTTTTTGTGATCAGAAATAATATTTAGATGTTATTTATGATTCCAAGCCAGGAGACTGCCAAAAATCTTACTGAAACTTGAAAATAAAGAAACAGAGGAGGCACATTCTTTCAGGGCCACACTGGGGAGGCCATCCAAGAACAATCAAAATGAAGTCCCAGGACAAACAGTATCAGAATCACTTGGAAACTTGTTAGAATTGAAAATTCTTGGGTCCCACCCCAGACAAACTAACCTGGAAACTCTGGGGGGTAGTGTCCAGCAATCAGAATTCTAACAAACCTTTCAGATGATTCTGATATACATCTGATAAAGTTTGAGAGCCATTAATTTAAGAGAAGGTACTTGTTCAACTATTTGACCAATTAAAGGTCTCAGATTTAATGAAGGCACATGTTATCTTAATGATTTCTTTTCTATAGAGATGTAAATAATTTCTGTTCAGTGGAAAAGATAACTTCAAAAGCTAAGGCTTATGACCCTGTTGGGCATTAGCCAGATTTGCTTTGCTTACACTGACATGACCTAAACTATATAGCTTTTCAAATGTTCTTTGAATTAGTTTTGACATCATGCTGGTTTCTTCACTAATTGATGAGTAAAAAAAATCTTTAGTAGGTGTTTATATGAAAATGTTTTTTAACTTCTCAAAAATTATTCTTTATCAATGTATTTCACATTGTGATTCTATGGTAATAAGTTCCAGTACTAGGCAGTGAGTATTTCTTTCCATGTTAGTTTTTGCTTAATATTTTATCCTTGTTTAAAGCACAGCATGTGGTACAGAAACTTTGAATGAATATGTGCAGTCAACAAACATGACCTAAAATACTTGATTTTTAAAAGAGGAATTCTATAAATTGCTTTTAAATACCACTCCCGTTAATTAACTTGTATTACTATTTCTTAAGGGATTTTTCTGGGATCTGTTATAAAGGATCCTGAGGCTAACAGATGATAGAATTGCAAAGGGTAACATCCTTCAAGATCTGTTCTGAGATCCGTTGGCTGTCAACCAAGAGTCAGACTAGGGCTAAAGTGGTTATTCTGTATTCAGCCTTGGCACAGGTTGTTTAGTTGTTGTTCAGCAGTGGGAAAAGCAGTTGCAAGCAATACTCAGTGCTGTGCACCCATGTATCATTGGATGCTGTTACTGGACAATATAAATGAGAACTAACAATTCATAGACACATCCCATTGATAAGAAAAGGCACCAAATGGAAGGATGAATGACTTTATGTAAATCCATCAAAAGTGCTAGAAAATCTGATTAAAAGTATATGCCTTATTAAATGGGTGAAACATTAGGATTATTTTCACATACTACTTAGACTGCATGGAGAGAGAATATTTATTGGTTTTCTCTTTCTCCTGATTTTCTCTTAGGCAGCTTTTGCCTCCTGCATTCCAGGAGACCTGGGGGCAATGGAGGATTATTAAGCCATCTCCATATAGTGGCACATTTATGTCTCATCATAAACAAATTTCTGCCTCCTGAGAATTTAAGTGCTAAGCAGAATGCTAAACAAAAAGTTTATATGTGAACATTATAACAGCAGCATCCCATGTTTCCTGGCCAAGATCCTTAGTATCATTCCTTGGGACTGCCTGCTTCTTCAGTTTTTCCTTCCTTTCCTTACCTCTCCATTAATCCACTTTTGCTTAGATTATCCAGATCAAGTTAATGTGGCTTACAACCAAAGTATCATAACTGATATAAAATCTGGTTTCCAGATGAAGTGAATTAACTAAATCAAGTCTCATAATCAGTATTCAAATCAACTTCTAGTCTTTGGCTCGCTCTTCTAGATTTTGGTGAAACATGAGTGTATAGTGTGCTCCTTTAGTTGAATTAAAGAGCATCTCACTTGTATTGCCTTCTCTTTTATGGAAGAATTTTCCTTCTAAAAAGCTTATTTAGGAGCTGGGGTTATGGCTCAGCGGTAGAGTGCTTGCCTCGCACATGCAAGGTCCTGGGTTCGATCCTCAGCACCACATAAAATAAATAAATAAAGAAACAAATAAATAAATAAATAAAAGTTATTGTGTACAACTACAAAAAAAAAGCTTATTTATATGAGAAAAATTCTAAACATACTTATGTAATTTAAAAAAAAACTAGAATAATACAAACTGACAGAAAAACCACTTATTTATTTATAACATCAGTTTGTAAACAATCACACTGTGCACTTTTTAACAGTAACATTTTTTTCCCCCTATGGATTTACAGTAAACTCTATGTAAATTCAATGAGTTAATACAGAGTGAAGATGAATAGGGTAGAATAATTTCTGAAAATGTCAAATTACGGCACTTGATAAAAGATAACTATCTGTACCATAAAAATTTACATGCCACAAAACATTAATTTATAGTTTTAAATATATAGTAAAACACATTTATAAAAAAAAGCATCAACATTAATTTTATTATAAACCAGTGAATTACCCAGAGGAATATTTATTAAAACTTACTAAAAATCAGAAAATTTTGCAACTGAGGTAAAAATTTATAAGTAAACAAAACTATCATTTATAAGGACTCCAAAAGTGAATGGAAGGGCAGACAACATATTCTGGGGACTATGTCACTCCTTGATATTTTGAAGCAGCTTCAACAAATGTGACTCAATAACCTGTTGAACTAGAACAGATAGGTAATCAAGATCACAGCATGTTGATTACAAATATTATAAAAATCTTAAATTCAACTTATCCTTAATGTTTTTCTAAAATAAAGTTATTTCTAAATAGGATACACCAATTATCTGAGGGCAATAATGCAATGCAAAACTTGAAATACTTAAAACTTAAGTCCATCACTAATTTAATAGTTGTCCAAGTTACTGGACTTTCTGTACCTAGGTTTTTATATTTTTTAAACTGAAGTAGAATCCAAAATATGTAGTTTGTTATGCAAAATATTAAATAAATGTTTAAATAGGTATGCACTTATCCTCCAGTAACTAATTATTTGGGTCAATGAAAAGCACTGTAAACAAACTCATTTCTCAACTTTGTAGGATTTTTTTTTACTTTGCCCACAGTTAAAAGCATGTGTCAGGAGTTAGGGAAACATGCAATGTTTTATGACTACAAGTGATGAAACACTGGTCTATGCTATTTAAAATAATGAAACAAAACCTGAGAGTTCAAAATACTTACCACTTCTATAACCCAGGGCTACAGCTAAATCCATAGAATTATACCCAGAGTCGGTTTCAATTGTTGGGTCAGCTCCATTTTCTATACCAAAACAGAAAAATATACGTAAGTAAAATAAATGTGTGAATATGTTTACCTAGTACTGGCTGGTATGCAAATATCTGGATAGATTTTCGGCCAATTCAGAGTCTATTTTCATAATGGTCTTGCCAAGTTCGTAGTATACTAGATATACAGAATTCACTTGCGTGGGCTGGAGGGAAAACAGTTCAAAAAGGCATCCCCTAGAATGGCTGAAACTCATAGACAACTAAAAACAAAACTTATGCAAAGAGATACTACAGACAAGGAAAAACCATGACCCCAAATTCAAATGTGATTTACATGTGACCTCAAATGAAAGCAGCAAGGACAAAAGCTTTAACAAAGATGTGGTGTTTTCATGGAGCTGCTTCTCTCATGGGCATCTCTGTGGTAGCAGGTACCTCAGGAGTGAACAGCAGCAGGATTAGTGTATTTTACAACAGATATTGGTCATCCTGACTAACACCAAGAAAGGCCAGATTGAAAAAATAAAGTCCTCGCAGGGCATTTTCTAAATAATTTTCATTTTCATCTGCTTACCTAAGAGCATCTTTACACATTTCACATGATTCCCATGTACAGCATAAAGCAAAGGTGTTCCTCCATTCTGCAAAATGAAAGAGCTTTTCAGGGTGAACAACAGTCAAATATTGCTGTAGGAAGTTTTTCTAAGAATTGGGCATGTAAAAGTAGTTTAAGGTAATTTTAACATCTTTCAAAGAATGCTTAAGTCAGAACAAATAATTGAATTTATGGCATTAACTTGTTCTTCCAGGTATTTACTTAAATAAACATTTTTAGGAGCTTCATAAAATCTATTATGTCTCCCCCAGCCAAATAAATTCTAGAATGTGTTACAGTAGTTTTAAATTCAGTATCATAGACTCACCCAGTCATATTCATTTACATCAACTCCACAATCAAGCAGCATTTTGACAATATCTGTGTAGCCTTTACTACAGGCCAATGACAGTGCACTTTCTCGACCTTTTCCTAAAAGTTGGGGATCGGCACCCTGGTATGGGAAGTTGAAATAAAAGACTTTCAGTGAATTTAAACAAAAATGTTGCTACTCCTGTCAATAACAATTACAGTTCAACACTGAAGTCAGGTATGTTCTGGGGTCAATATGGAAATTATTATTCATGGATGCTCTTGTTATTGAGATTTTCTGAATGAATGAATGCCTTCCTTCTTCTATCTCAAGCCTGTCCTTTCACTCCTGAGTCAAGTCACAGCTCCTCTATGAAGCGTTCTCCTCCAAGGCCGATAGTACTTTTGTTCCTGTTGCACTTAATGGGGGTTGGACATGAAATTATTTCTCAATTTTTCATGTATGATTAGCATTGCTTTCCCACCTAGATCCAAGTTCTACAGAAGTATAAAAAACATTACAATGTTTTTTGTATCCTCCATAATTATATGTAGCTGGTTGGAGATACAAAAACTTTACTAAAGATTTAATGGAACTTAAGTAACTATACATATACATTTTCTGAGGCATTTTCCTTACATTCTGAAGTAGAAACTCTACCACAGCTATTTGCCCGTGTGCTGCAGCCCACATCAGAGGAGTAAATCCTTCTTCATCCGTGTGATTGATAACATTTTCTATTTAAAAGAAAAGCAATTTTTGTGATCTAATTTAACCATCACATATTCATAACACTATGAAATCACTGGCATTCCAAAAAGTTGATTATATGGCTCAAAAAATTCACTTTGTGCTGAGGTCCAATTGTGTTGTTGCAACTTGAAGTCTGATTGTATTAAAATGTGCCTCAATGTACATAGCTGGGTTTATAGAGCATGTTCTTGAAGGTATAAACTACCAGAGAATGACAAAAGGCTAGATACTAGGTGTCAATAGAACACTGGTCTCAGAATCAGGAGACCAGAGTTTGAATCCTGGCTCTATCACTAGCAGTGTGACTCTAGGCAAGATACTTACTTTCTTCAATGCACATAATACCTTGTTTACCTCATTGTATAAGCTGAGAGGATCATAATAAGAATTAGATTACTTGGTAGTCCCTAGCATTACATAAATATATACAATTATAAAAACTCCAAATTCTTTTGAAAGCCACCTTCTATTCCATAGCTGTTGCTACCTATGAACTTCTCATTCATGTGGTTTGGGAACATAATATGAAAATTGAATGGTCTGAAATGCAGTATCACACAATCCCACTGTGAAACCCATTTTACTCCCTAGACTTAGTATAGTAGTTATAAATTCCAGCTTTCCCCCTAAATTATGTAGTAGACTGACAAGGAAACCTCCAAATATTTATAAACAAATGTAAATACAATGATTAAATTATAAGAATGACATGATCAAGAAAAACAAAACTCTGATCATGCTCCCTGTATTCAATAAACAATGTTGGAACAACTACTTAACTTTTTGAAAAGTGAAAATTAATGTAATCTTTACCTCATTACACCAAAACATTTCATGTGAGTCAAAGATGAGTAAGTTCTAGATAAGTAAGACTAAAGAATCAGTTCATTTATAGTTCTTGAATGGGAAATCTTTTTGAAGCAGGATATAAAACTCAGCAGGCACAAAGGAAATAAATCATTTACTACTTGAAAATATTAAGCCTTGCTGGGCATGGTGGCTTATGCCTGTAATCCCAGTGACTTGGGTGGCTAAGGCAGAAGAATTGCAAATTCAAGGCCATCTTTGGCAATTTAGCAAGATCCTGTCTGAAAACAAAAAAATTTTTTGAAAATGGGCTGAGGATGTAGCTCAGAGGTAGAACGCTATTGGGTTCAATCCTTGGTAGTGCCAAAAAAATTAAGCCTTTGGAAGTAATAAAAGGCGGCAAAGGAAAAATGACATAATGGGAAGAAACTATATGCAACATAAATAGTAAAAAGCTAATTTCCTTAATTTAGAGAGTTCATATAAATCAATATATTGCAGGCAGTTTGCACAAAAAGAAATTCAGCAATCAAAATTCTAAAAATATAAAGTACTGTGAGATACCAGTTTTCACTCATGGATTTGTGAAAATCAAAGTATGATAAAATTCTGTGTCAGTGAGGGTATAGGCAAATAGAAAATCTAACTATGGTATGAGGACAAACACCTGATTTTATTTTTATGCATATCTATGTATGTATGTATATATATGAATTTAGGGCTGGTGTGCAGTTCTATGGTAAAGCACTTGCTTAGCATGCACAAGGCCCTAGGTTGGATGTCTATTATTATAAGAAAAAAAAAGTATACCCTTTGACCCAGCAAATCTACTTGTGCTAATTTACTCAATGGACAGATTTTAAAATAATAATATTGTCATTTAATAGTAAAACTCCACCAGGATGAATAGTTAAGAATATGCATATGTAATACAAAATTATGCAGCTATTAAAAGGAATAAAATAGATTTTTATGGCTTATATGGAAAGCTCTCCAAAACATTAAGTGAAAAGTAAGGCATAATGCAGTATGAATAATATTTTCCTACTGTGTAAATAATTAAAAGCAAATACATATTCTCACACATAACCCAAAATATAAATTGAAATGTTTTCTAGAAAGTTTTTCTGAAAATATAAGAAATGTATGTTTCAGGAAAAGTGTAAGGTGCCAAAGGAAGTTATAACTTTTGTACTTTCTATTACTTAAACTTTTTTTTTTTTTTTACTATCCATTGGGTTAACTGCCTGATGAGATTATCCAACTATTTGTTTTGTCTTTATATGTTTCTCAGTTAAATAAAGCAAAATAACAAATCTAGTAAATCCTATTGAATTTGTTTTATATAAAATATTTAAAACTAAGCCATTACCTTGTTCAATACGAGTAGCCAGGTAGAGTATCTCTCCCTGAGCTGCCAACTGGTGAACAGACAAAGCTGAAACAATACCATAAAATATTTCATGTACGTCTGTGTGGCACATGCTCATCATTCCATGGTTCATGTTTGTTTGGTAAATTTCTTTTCTAAAAAAACGCTTATCATTTTAAAAAATCAAACATATAGTATATCCTAATATTATAAGTGCCCATTTTACATCTGAGAATTGACTCATACATTCATTTAAGGTAATTTGACATCTGCAAAATGCCAGACAAAATTTATTCCAAAGAAATGTTTTAGGCACTTACACATACACATACACACACACACACACACACACACATTCAAATACATATATTGGTTAGTTGGTTTGTTTGAGACAGAATCTCAATATGTTGCCCAGGCTAGGCTTAATCTCCTGGGCTCAAATGACCCTCTGCCTCAGCCTCCCAAAGACATGAGCCACAATGCCCAGCCTTTTGGAAGTCCTAAATATTTTTATTTCAAGATTCCAGGATTCCATAATATTTCAATATTTTCTTAACATTAGGAAGAGTGAGGTCATAAAAGCAAAACTGGCCTTGAGAACATATTCTTACAAAACCAATTACATATTTTTATTTGTAACATGAAGGATGTGATCCAGATGATCACTATTATTCATTTCTTTTCAGGATTTCAAAAATACTCCAGTTGGAATATTTTAAGGGAATCTCTTCATTTTAGAGCAGTAACAAAAAGACATTGTATTTTGAGAGTTCTCCTAAAAAATTAGTATTGCTTGATCATTGACTTCAGTGATATGATCAGATAGCTTTAATATTCAAAGGAAAGTAACAGGGAGTTACATACAACTTTATTTAAATAAACCAGAAACAGTCAATAGGTAGAAGGAGAGTTCCAGAGGAAGGTTTTATGACTTAACTGCCACAACATGTGATTCAGAAATCAGGAGGGATTTAGTATTTCCAAAGCAAAAATAAAGATTTCAATAGGCTTTAGAATATATATATATATATATATATATATATATATATATATATATATATATATATATCACAGTCTCAAATACAGTTACTAACATTAAATTGCTGATTTTCTTTCATTCACACATCCATACTGTACAGAATACTTTCTGGTCTGAATAGAAAAACCTTATTTTCCTCTACAATGATTCTACAATTTTAAAAATTGTTAATTCAAAGTTTTAAAAACCGTAGGTTTCACATTCATATTCTTGTATTCAAATATAACATTTATACTTTATATTATCATAAATCACTTGGCTTTTTTGCAAAATCATTTGTTGAGCAATGATTTGGTTTATAAATAAAACAAGCATTGTACTCCAAGAGCACAAAAATATTGGCAATTAATATGCAAAATTAATTTGCAAAATGTTTAAAATAACTCATTATTTCTGTAGTAAAAATTAAAGATTTTAATATTTCAATCTGTATTTGTTCTCAACACAGAAACGTAACATTAAATATTTAAATATGTAATAGTATATGATAAAGTTTTAAATCACTAAAACTATTAGGATATTGCATAACCTTTCAACAAGAGAATATGCATTTAATGAAAATAAATGCATATGAAAGCCAAATTCTTAAAATTCCTATACTAGAATATTTTAGTACATTAGCTACAAGTACTTACAATTTGCTAAAAGAGGTGTGGTAGAGACCTCGTTTCCTCTGTGTTTGTTGGTTAAAGTAGTTGACTGTTTTATGGGTGAGAAATGCTTTGTTGTAGAGGGAGTGTAGACATGCCTTACTTGAATTCCAGGAGAAGGAGATGTATGGATATTGCATTCAGCTAAGTGAAATAAATGTACATTAAAACAATACAATTAAAAAATGAATGAGGCATATGAATTTCTCACAACTATCTCTCACGTGATATTAAAATTTTTGTCATAAAGTCAATATTACCATAGTGAAAATTCCAGAAAAAGAAGTATCAATCTCTTATTTTAGGAGATTAGTTTTATTATTCAATAGATCATTATAAAGGTAAATCTAAAGCATGTTGACAGACTTTATTGAATTAAAGCATTGGAAGCTAGTGCAAATTAAATATTCAGGGAACAAGGAATATTTAACTAATTCATTTAGAAAAGAAACAAGGAATTTTTTTCTGTGATTTAAAAAGGTATAATAAAAAGATTCACTAGAGAATATGTAAATGAAGATTAGATAAAAAAATTTTTAAAAATCAACATGTACTGCCTTTAACATAGACATTACATAGCATGAAATTATTTAAATTTGGTTTCTGTGAGGTCAGAAAATCCTATTAAAATATGATTTCCAAACTTCCTAAATATTTGTATTTTTGTATTTCCTATGGTGGAAATACACAAAACTCAAATAAACAAAAACAAATGCAGATATTTATACCATAACTTTCAACCTTTAAATAGGACAGATGCCACCTCCAGGTCAGAGTTAACCTGATCTTGAATGTTTTTACTATCTTCTTCATTTAAGGACTTCACAAATCGAGAACACACGTTCATATCAAATCGATTAGGCAATATGAATTTCATTCCCATGGCAACACCCTGAGCTGATCCTTCTTCTGAATTTGGATCCAGTGGGTGTTCTATTTTAATGTCTGGCATGCCAGAGAGACTATAACTGCTGGGACACTCTTCTACCATCAATTGGGCACCAATATCCAGATTTGCTGATGTAGCCATGATTTCAACTATAGTTCAATATTAAAGCATTTCTTCTTGATTTCTTCTTGGTTTTAGAGCAGTATCCAGTGTATTCTAGAATTTTGATATTGAAAAACCTGAAAGAAAAGAAATTAGAAAATTAGAAGTGTTATATCAATTTAGTAAAAGAGCACAAAATAATTATTTTCAATGAAGCATACAAACAGTGCTCTTAGAAGCACCTAAACCTAATAGAGTACAATATGCAAAGATACAGAAATCTGGGTATGTATCCAAGCTTCAGCACTTCACTTATAAACTTTGTCACTGTACAAGTTATTGAACTTTTCTGAACCTCAAACTCATTTATAAAATAGGGATACCACCATTAACTTTACATGATCCTGATAAAGAGCAAATGAAATACAGAAACATTATCACTTCTATCCTCCATTCCAACAAATTTTAGTCACTGTTTCTCTTCCTTCCTATATCTGAATATTGCCAAGTGGATAAAAGATAAGGCTACCAATAAAAATAAACTTTCATGTTAAAACTTTAACCTCTTACTTAAGGTTCATATTTTAAAAAACATGTTTATATAAGTGGCTCTTGGTTTGAATTTAATGAAAAATGTAACTTATGTTATAGCCAAGTTTCTTTGCATTGTCGTCTATAACACCTGTGTTTCTTAGTGAAAGACCCTACACAGCTTTAGTTTTAATAAACTTAAAGGGGTATTTCTAAGTTTTTGTTTAGATTAAGCATTAGCAACTTAATACAGGTTTTTAAAAATGACAAGTAAAGTGTGTAGATTATGGATTGGCTTCCAAAAATAAATAGCTATCCCAGATATGTAATCATTTGAGACAAGAAAACATACAATTTTTTCCATGTTAGAGTTTATTGCCTCTTAGAGATTTTGAGAGGGTTCAATGAATTTTAAAATGGAATTAAAAGAGAAAAATGCATTAGGATCATAGTGAAGCAGGGTTTTGCAAATCACACATTTCCAGATAACCAACTGCTTACAGTTTTAAAGATATTTTCAAAGGTTGATCCTTATAACAATCCTTCCAATAGGCAGAGGGGAGAAAAAGGAAGCTCATGACTTAAGGGAAACCTATCTAGTTCTATTGACTCCTTCACCCTGACCATTAAATAAAAAGCAGCACTAAATCCAAAAGTTTCATGAGAGGGGGAGTTGAAGAATAATATACAGTCAGGAAAAAAATCCAGGAATAAAGTTAGTACATTTTAGCAAAAGGAAAGAAGGACACCAGAACAATTAGTTTGGTGACTCAAATGGACATGGATTCATCTTGTATTCTTAACAATGCAAGAAGTCTGTGGGTACTTAAAAGATGAGTGCATAAGTGAACTGTTTCCTGAGAGAAGAATGATTTCCTTCCTTCTTCAACCCAAAAGGAGGCTAAATGCAATTTCCCTAGACTCTTAGCACTCTGTATATATTTTCAGCATTTGCCATTCTCTTGAAAATTCCCTTTAAGCCCCCACTAAGTTGAAAACTCTAGGATGGGGACAACTCTTTACTAATCTTTTCACATGAAACAGTACTTGGTTCTACCAGGTGCTCCATACATGTTTTCTTATTTGAACTTCAACATTTTTTTATAAAATACTTATTTTTTAGTTATAGGTGGACACAATGTCTTTATTTTACTTTATGGGGTGCTGAGGATGGAACCCAGTGCCTCACACATGCTAGGCAAGTGCTCTCCCTCTGAGCCCCAGCCCCAGTCCAATGAACTTCACATTTTAAAACATTCTTTTCTGTGTCTAATATTTGCTGATGAGATCTTGCTTTCCATTCCCAACATCAACTAATAAGCTGTGCAACCCTGGATACATGAATCATATAAATTTTCTGAAAATCAATCATCTACAGAATGAAGGTGTTGAAATAAGCATCTCTAATAGTCTTCTCAGCTCTAAAGAGCTTGTATGTTATAAATCAGGGTTTACAGATGGAATTACCAGTTTTTGGAGGAGATCCAGCAAATGTGTTTAGGGGAGGAGGATGGAAACAATGCTTATCTCGGCCCCACTCTGGAGAAGCTGCAAAATTGACTGGCAAGTCAAATTTCTGAATGGGAGGAGGGAGAAATAGACGACAGAGAAGTGGAGAGAGTGGTGAGAAAAGGAAAGCCTTGTAGTCGATCTGTCATAGCCCAGGAATGCAGGGAAAGAGTATAAGGGGGCAAGGGGGCACCCGTGCTAGTCCTAGTGGAAGCTAATAGTAGGAGCCCCCGATTCTTCCCAATCCCGAAATTGTCCTAAAAGGAGAGGAAGGTGCTATGAAAATAAATGATGCCTCACAGGCGACAGGTATCCCAGCGTCTCGGAACAGGAGCCCCGTGGAGGGGAGACCTGTAGAGTGGGAAGTCCGCTCCGTCGCCGCTGCCCAGCTGTGCTCGAAATGTCCCAGGCGGAAACTCGCTCACTCTCGGCCTGGAGAGGTTGGAGGCTCACAGGGTGGGCGCGAGGCGACTCGCGATCACCTTCGAGGAGGCCACGGACTCGGTGCAGGCCCGGGTTGTTTTGGCCACCACGTCACTTCCGATTTTTTTCTTTCGTCTTCTGGCAAAAAAAAAGCCTGCAGCCGAGACGACTTCCAGGTGTTTTTTGTTTGGTTGGTTATGGCCGCCCCCGCGGTCCGTCCTGTCCGAGTACCACAGAGACAGGATCACTTCGGTTGACAGCTCTGGGTCACCAGGGGAAGGCCGCAGTCTACACGCCCGGCTAAGCCTCCTGTCTGGTTGCCCCGCCCACCCGCCCCGGCCTCGCGTCCTCCTGGCTGCGTAAGTGTTCTGAGCATGCGCCGTACGTCATCTTCGCGCGACGTTCTCTTCTTGGTGTGTGCGGACTGGGCAGTGGATGGCCGCGTGACTTTGCTCAGGTGGATTCAGGTCCGGTGCTGGGCGCTGGAGAAGTCAGAAAACTTATCCTTGGAAGCGGGGTACCTCGGCGGATCCTTGGGTCTCAGTGGAGGTAGGTGAAGGCGGCTCCTGTGAAGGTAACCCGGACTGTCATCAGGCCTCCCTGTGGTTTCTGGCATGCTCTGGAGATGGTTAAACTTCCTAACCGGCTTTTCAAGATCCCGGCAATTGAATTTAGACCCAGATTTTGCTGCGCTACAGTCACCTTCTCTCTTGTCCATTTATCAGCTTCCGGAATAATCCTCACCCCTTCAAGGCAATGGGCAGAATTCCATCTTTCTTTGCTTAGAAGTTTCCCTCAGTTTCTAATGACCCCGAATTTCCTCTTCTGCACCGCCTTCTGCTTGTGCCTGTCGTAAGTGGCGAAGACGGGCTAATGTTATAGTTTAATGCCCAGGTGCAATGATACACTCTTTCCATGTAGAATTAAAACTTTTCTTCGGAGCTCTCAGTACCCTGGTCGTTACTCATAGCATTTTATTTGATAGCATTGTATTGCAATAGTACTTGTTATTCATTTACATCTTGACTTAGGCCGAATCATTCTCCTTCTCTTTATTTTCACACAATTTTTTGCCTCAGGCTTTTTGCACTGTGTCTCCCCACCACCCACATCCCTGCTCTCCACTACTGCTCCTCATTTTGTAATCTGTCAAACCACTGCTATAGCACTTCACTTCTTTTTTTTTTTTTAAGAGAGAGAGAATTTTTATTTATTTTTTTAAGTTTTTCTGCGGACACAACATCTTTGTATGTGGTGCTGAGGATCCAACCGGGCTGCACGCATGCCAGGCAAGCGCGCTACCGCTTGAGCCACATCCCCAGCCCCGAGCACTTCACTTCTTTCCACTAAAACTTTAAACTATTTGTTGAAAGGGATAAGAAGTGGTACTCCTATTACTGTAATGAGAGGTAAAGAAGGGAGTCAGGGAGCAGATTTGTGTATTCAGAGAGTCAAGAATACTTTTTATAGATGAGCATAAGCAATCCTTGATGTTGGAAGCACTGACTTTGAACTGGAATTAAACGAAATGTTATCCCTTGCCCCCCTAAAATCCTATTGTTCTTATTCTAAACCAAAAAAAAAAAAATTGTGATGATTATTTTGGGAAGATTGTTAGTAAAACTTTGGGACTTTTTTTTCTTACTTGCTATATAAATAACTATATGATATCCTTCCTTCAATTTTCCTTGTTGGCCCCTCCAAGCCTAAAATATTTACCATTTGGCCCTTTGCAGAAAGTTTGTGAACGGGTTCTCTGTAGCAGTGTTCATATTTTAAGACAGTACTTGTAATTTTAATTTTGTGTTTCCCCATAGAAATTTACCCAGTGCTTCCTTTCTCTTCTTCCAGAAACATTCTTTGAGCACTTAAAAAAAAAATCTTTCAGACTCAAAATTTCAATTCAACTTAACAGGGAAAAGAGATCATTCCAATGCAATAGAATTATGTGCATAGATTGAAATATTCAGAGCTAAATAGGATCCTAGAAGACAGGACCTCTCCTCAGAGGGCAGAATAGGTTTCCTGGAGAATGATCTGATTCCTGAGTTGAGCCTTAAATATTAAATAGCAGTAGGTAGAGGACATTCCTAGCAGAGAGCACAAGTGACAAAGACATTGAGGCAAGAATGAGCGTGATGTGTTAAGTGAACAGTTAATGATTGGTAATAACAAAAGATGAGGCTGGAAGGTAAGCCAGGGCCAAATCAGAGAGGATCTTACATTCTTGTTCCTTGTTCCTCCTGTTAAGGAGCTTGTACTTTATTTTCTGGATAGCATTGGGTTTTGTAAGCAAGGCCAGCTGCTTACAAATATTTGAAAATTTGAAATATGGATGGGGTTGAGGGAGGTCAAAGAGACCTTGGAACAGTGTTGCATTATTATCACAGATGAGAAAACCTGAATTAGGGTAATGGAACTAGCAGTTAAGTGGACTTAAGAAAGTTTAAGAAAGATTTGGAAGATTAAAATCAGTAGATTTTGTTTACTGTTAGGGTGTGAGGAGGATGACAAGTCAAATCTGAGTCTAGATTCCTAGCTGCAGCCAATCACCAGCCAAATGAAGAATATTCACCTCTATTCCCAGTGCCTGAAACAGGGTCCTGCACTTTATAGGTGCTTGAATGAACAGTAAAGATTTTCTCCTTTAGGCATGAATTGCCATGTTTTATCAAAATAGCCTTTAAAATATGTCATATCTATTTGTTTTGGTGTTACCAATGTCATATTTTGGGGCTTTTCAAAACAGATGAAAATAGCATCACTGGAATCATTCATCTGATATGATAGAATTGAGTCTCTTTTTTTGCCACTGAATAGTTCTGGAAAGATGTTTTAGCTTGATTATGTTAAAGGTTTTAGTTCATTTTTATCTTATTTTGTCACTTTAACTTAGAATTGCCTTTTCTGTTTTTTTTTTTTCCTTACTGTTTAAACCTTTTAAAATTACATTATAAGCTTCTATATACATTGTAAGCCTTACAAAATTAAGCTTCTCCACTAGAATCCTTAGCTTTGGTTTCCTTCTTGGCATTTTTAGACTTTCAGGAAGTCAAGTCTGGGGACTTTATTCTTAAAGACTAAATGTCTTCTTAAGTTTCAAGAAAGTTTTGTATTTGTAGTTATAATACATATTTCCTATGGTCAAACCTGAAGCCAGTGTGCTTCTTTCTGGTTTGACTACCAGAAGGCTGCACCAGATTTATTCCTAACTATTGCAAACTGGTCAGGTAGGTGTGAGAACATTTGTATACAGCCCTGATGTACAGCTGAATAGATGGTACAGTGTGGTAACCTGACCTATATTCTTCCTGTTTCCTTTAGATTATCTCTTCTGGGTTACAATTAAGTGGTTTATTGGTCTTTAATCTATAAACTTCCACACAGCCTTCTGAAAGAAAGCAGAGTAAAAATCATACCCATATGTTTATGAATAATATGTGTTTTAAAATATTTTCTTTTTCAGAGTTAAGCAGAGTCACTATAATTATTTCTAACATCAACTCTAAGTTATTGACCTTGGACAATAGTGCAATTATATGAAATCATGGCTGGTTATAAACCTGTAGCTATTCAAACATATCCTATACTTGGTGAAAAAATCACCCAAGATACTCTGTACTGGAACAACTATAAGGTAAGTATGGGAAATAATGAGGGAGGAGGGGAATTATGTTTATTTATTTATGCATTTATACCCATTTTTTTCCTGCATATGTTATACTTTAGGTATGCTGACAGACCATTAACTAAAAACAATCTATGAGCAGCTTATAGTTTGGGTAGATAACATGACACCTATTTGTATCTTGGAATTCTATAAAAAGTCTATATTACTTGATCCGTACAAGGGTCTAACTCAGAATATATGACTAATCAGTACCAAATGAAATAAATTTTAGAATTTAAACCTTATATGTGAGAAGTATTTTCTTTCTTTTTTAAATCTAAGTGCTGTGAAATTAGTTCTCTATCTTCTAATAAGGCTTACAAGTGATTTTTTTAAAATGGAAAAACTAAATAGGAAACTGGAAGAAGTTTGGGAGTGGGCAGTTTGTGGAAAAAAAATACAAATATACAGTAAACATATTAAATGGTCATGAGGGCTACTTGGAAATTAGTACACATTTGGAAGGCAATTTGAAAGTATCTGTTATGATTTTTAAAATGCAGATACCCTTTGGCTTTGTACTTTGATAACTTGAAACATAATCAATATACTCCCCAAGGTTTGTTTAAGTATATATGTATGTGTGTGTGTATATATATGCATATACATATATTATGTATATGTATCTTAACATTTATATGTATACATACATATGTATGCATATTAGATGTAAACTTATCAAAGTAGTATATGTAAGAATTCCTGAAAAACTTGTGTCTATTACTAGTCAGCTGCTATAATAAATTTTGGTATATCCTTATAATGAATAGTCAATCTGTTGCTTTCTATATGAAAGTTTGCTAAGATGGGTTATTTAGTGACAAAAAGCAAGGTATATAACTGGCTGCATAGTATGGTCATGTTTGTGTTAATTTTTAAAAAAGCTAAATGTAGGCTGGTAAAGACTTTACTTTTACTTTTTCTTTTCTGTTGGAAATTACAGCATATAGCAACTGAAGAGATGATGGAGTGTGGCTTTCTAGCCATGTTTATTTAAGTTAGCAGCAACAAGAATAGTCTGGGTGATGGGATATTGCCCTTTTTTGATTCTTTTGTATTTGTAAAATCTGATAAACCTAATAAATGTTATTAAGAACAAACAAGTTATCTGTAAGAAATTACATAATGCTTAAATAGGTTTTCCAGGTGTAACTCTGTTAATACTCTGCATTCTTTTTCATGAAGACCCCTGTTCAGATTAAGGAATTTGGTGCAGTGTCAAAAGTAGACTTTTCTCCCCAGCCTCCATATAACTATGCAGTCACAGCTTCCTCAAGAGTAAGTACAATAATAATTTTTTTTTTCTTTTTTAGTTTACTGTTGATCTTGAGCCCCTGGTAAAAATATTGTTTTTTATCTTATAGATTCACATTTATGGCCGATACTCCCAAGAACCTATAAAAACCTTTTCCCGTTTTAAAGACACAGCATATTGTGCTACTTTTCGACAAGATGGTAGATTGCTTGTGGCCGGCAGTGAAGATGGTGGAGTTCAGCTTTTTGATATAAGCGGCAGGGCTCCCCTCAGACAGTTTGAAGGCCATACAAAGTAAGAGACAGTGGTTTTTATATGTTTTTGTTTTATTTGTTGAAGCAAAACAATAGCTTCAGCATTTAAAACACTCATTTTCATTAAGCAGCTAAGTAGAATTATTAACATACTAGA